GAGTGCGTAGTTTGTGCCCCTTAGAAGCATTAGCGGGTCTAGTATCGCCATTGTCTATCACCCCTCAATCGAAGTCCACGACGACGGTTAGGTGTTGATTGAAGTGCCGTTGTTGGCCCGTGGAACGCAAGGAACGGTTCATTGCAGAATCGGAATGGAATAGGGAAGGACAGACGAGGCCTAAGCAGAAGCATGTTAATTTGTCAGGAATGCCGGGTAATTGCTATTAATGAGAGCCAGCAGCCGCGGCCAACGGTGTGCCCTCTCAGAGGCCCGGTCACTCGCATGTTGGGTAGGTACATGTCGTACAATCTGAACATGCCTCGTGCTTTTCTCCTGCTATTTTCGTTGCTTTCATTCTTCATCACTGCCGACTGCTCACGTGAACACCGAGGGGCTTCATTTTTATTGGAGGTTACTCGGACGGCCGCGGAGCTTTTAAATTTTATTAACGAGAACTGCCCAACTGCTTAACCGTTAAGCGATAGAGCGCCACGGCCACGTTGCAGTGACGTCACCAAAACTGCTTTAGGGTAAGGGTGTCCATATAGGTAACAAATTCATAAGAATCCCAAAACATGACGTGTCTAGTAAAAAATTTTCCGACAATCCTCAAAAATTAAGTGTAAGTGCGTTGCGCACTGGAAAAAAAACACATTGGATCTGGAGTCCAGACTCTTGAAAACATTGACAGGAAAAAGGACTCTTGATTCAATGAGATTTAAGCTTAAATCAAAATGAATTCCGCTCAAATTAAGAGGCTTGGTTCTTGATTTAAGCTTAAATCTGATTGAATCAAGAGTATTTTTTCTTGTCGATGTTTTTAAGAGTCTGGACTCTAGATCCGATGTATTTTTTTTTTCCAGTGCGCGTGTATTGCGCTCACGGTTCTATTAATCAGAAAACAAAAATGGTTATTGTGTGGTATAAAATTAGATGTGGAAAAATGTCTATTGGCAAAATGACTGGTAGTTTGTCACTTAGTTCCATTGTCAAATACTGATGGTAAAATTTTCACGGATCTAAACATTTATCGGATTTTCTTCGTATATTCTGAAAATCACGGTGTTAACCTAAAATATATCCGTAGGCAGGACAGGACAGGACATATTAACCTCAAACACAGCTTTTAAATGGATCGAAAAAAAATTAAGAATCGAACATGTATAGTTACCGAAGTACATAACGCGCGTATTTGCGTAGCGCATTAATTACCACCGTGCGTCGTTTTAAGCGCGCGCCGAAATGCTTCTTTCGTTAAATTCGTACCTATTCGAGCGTGGTTTTTATCGCACGAAACGGTTTGGTACCAGAGCAATATTGTTTCCCATCGCCATTGTTTAGGATGCAAAATTGTTTTTCTCGCGCATTAAACAGCTAAACCGCAATTTGAATATTTAATAAAATTTTAAATTTTGAAATTTCCTCAGGTACTTTAGATTACAGTACAACCTGCCATTAAAATAATTTTTTTCAAAGAAAGACTTTAACGTGCTTGTAAAATGTTTAAAAAATGACTGTTAAGACTGTTAATGTCTTTTAACACTTAAAAAATGTTTTTAACATTATTAAAAAAAGATTTTAAACATTTTGAAAATAATACTGTCACTTCAACTTGTATCTCTTTAAACATTTTGAAGTTGTTTCTGAGACGTTTCAGTTTATCTCTGTTTTATGTTTAACGACTCTGAAAAATAGCACTTTTTTTAGAGATATCTTAAAACGTCTTATAACCGTCGCTATGATATTAGAGGAATGACTTATTCGCTACACAGTATCTAAAGGATACACTACTATAAAAAAATCTCACGGTTTACCGCCTGATTCGGGCAGATGGTTAATACTGAATACTTATTTTTACGACCACTATTACCAACAGAAGTCAACCCCACCGCTGTCTGTGCGCGCACAACTCAGGATGCATTTGCGTCATAAAACCCATATCATAATCGCCCATTAACGGAAACGCGTGAAATAGAAACGGCTACTTCTCAGCCATTCATGCCACACCAGTCCTTCAGCTTGATATACTTACTTATCTCTACGCTTTCTCGTTATTTCTCTAGAATGCTCCCCCAAAGAACCATTCAAAATTTCGCCTATCTTTGTGATCACTCATCAAAGACAGAAATAATTAATATTTTTAAAATTATCTTTTCGCTGATTAATACTTTTAAAATTATTTTTTCGCTAACTGGTTTGCCACTTTTCGTGAAGGAATATAACTGACAGTACTTCAATCCTTATCCTGTCTCGTGGTTGATTATCACTCTAAAAAGACTTGAATTCTAAACTTACCTCTGAATTGAATTTCAGCGCTTGGGTAAACAATTTGCCCCTTCAATGGTAGAAAAACGAATGGAATCTTTTGCACCGTTGAACCGGAGACAAACGGGGCCAAAGTACATTCTGTGAACAAAAAGATACAAATGATGATGAGAAATGTCTGGTTTTACTGCGAAAAATTCACAATTTTAGTACGGATAAATACATTTTTAAGTGGCAAAGCGTGGAAGATCAACTATCGATAATTCCCCATTTGAGGCTACGGTAAAGAATCGATTATTGAGGTGTTTGTTGCGAACACCCATTTTATCGATCCTTTTCCATAGGTTTAAATGGTAGATCAATTGACGAATCGGAGAGCACGCCTCGCCTCTGTATTTTTTGTAATTATGTCCATATATTTATCCCTCTCTGTAATCGTATTTAGCATTGAAATTAATTTTATGGCATCGCAACATGAATTTTCGTGAGGGCCATATACATTTTGCCTCACTTCGAAAATAGCCGTTATTTACGCATGCCCTTCCCTTTTCCGGAAGTCCATTTAGTTACGGTAAAACGCGCGAGTCCATTTAAAGGTGAATAAAACCTGAGGGAGGCTGAGAGCTAAGATCTATCGGAAACTTGTTCCCATTCTATAACGGAACGTTGCGCCGTTTTTAATCCGAGAAAGCGGAAGTCTAGGAAATGAACGAGTCTTCGAATATGGAGGTGAGAAAACACTTCGTTCGGAGTCAAGCTTCATGAGAGACTGCTATCTATGGACGCGAAGAATTTTTTTCCAAGCGGAAAAGTTGGAGAGTTCTCCGTGCGGAGGGCTTGACTTACTGCTGGCAGCGTTTTTGCCATCTTGAGAAGTATACGTGTTTTACTGCATGCCAACATGGACCTCGGATTGCCTGAGAGTATAAGTCGATGGTGGCTCACGTCGGGGTGCATCTTAAACTCTACCCCTGAAGGGATAGAGCGGTCGATCGCCTTGCCGTTGAGTGGCGTTTGTTTGTAATTGTAGTTGTTATAACTGTTGTAGCTGCAATCGAGGTTGATGGTCGGTGCACGTGATGACTTGATTGTCGCAGCATGTGTGAGATGGTTCTGGCAGGGCTGCCGCGAGGGTAAATTGTCACCCACGCAAACGCAGGAATGCGTATGTCACTTCGCGGCATTACAGACGTTCTGTCATACTTCATCGTTTTTTACATTGAAACCCATATGTGCTGGTTATACGCTCAAATTTCCATCAATTTCCGATCAAACGGTGACTGGTGCGCACCATCTACCATCAAATTTCTGCGGCCAGCAAAAATTTGATGGTAGATGATGGAGCTGTAGGGCTCGTCCTTCATCTGATTTCCACACAACCGTGCTTATTTCATGCTTATTTCAATCAACAGGCTGTTTTAATTAATTTTACTCATCAATCTAGATAACTCTCGACCGCCATCTTGGTCATCATTTTGATCAGAATTTGACGGAAATTTGATCGTGTAACCAGGCCATTAGAATGTCGTTCCTTGAAAACATCGGTAATTTTTCTTCTCTATGTGAAGAATACTCTGTGAAAATTTCAATTCATGATGTTGGTTTGGTCTTCCATTCAAAAGTAAATTAGGAACGAAGATTTTGAAATACCACAGCATAACCGAGTTAAGCATTTTTGGAGTTTCATCATCGATATGTGGCCACGGATAAAGGGGGGGGACAAGGAGGAATTCGAATAAGAAAAAGAAGAGTATGAATAGGAAGAAGAAGAAAATGAATGAAAAGAAGAGGAAGGGGAAGAATAAGGAGGAGGGAAAAAATCTAAATTGTGGGGGCGCCGAAATTTCGCGCGTTGACCGGCAAAAGAGTGTGGTTTCCGTAAAACGGGTTGTAGTTGAATGAACGGAAGTTAATCCCTCCGTTACGGCAACGTAGCTCTTATCGAGGTTTCCAAGATAGCGCGAAGTGAAAGAGGCAGAGGGTCTGTTTGCATCCAGTGCATATTTTTTGCAACTGTGTTATCCTGAGCCCGATCCTACTGTGGACGCGTGGTACTTTGTCGCCAATTAGACGCTCGTATGAGTATGAATTGCCCTCCTTGCCACGGCTATCGCGTGCCTTTCGTCGCACATAAGTCTGTCGAAATGGAGTGTCTACGGCGACAAAATCAAGGAAACCTCAAGATATGAAAAACCCAACGAATCGTGTGAGTAAACATGGATTTTGATTTCATACAAAGCCGTCATCTTGAGAGATGTGCCGGGAAGAAACATGAGCGTCGCATATTTGTTTACTCGGCAAACAAAAGGACTTCATTTTGATATTCGGAACTTCAATTTGTGGCTCATTCGTAAAAGCACACATGAGAATTGAAAAACGAAGGGTGCATACTTTGTTTCTAAACCGAGCCAATGATTTTGGTTCCTAATTGCAAAATGTAGTCAACTTATGTGTAGCTTCAACTCGCAGCCTCATACCCAAACATTTTTCGACCAACAATATTTTTTAAGTAACATCGGGTGAAAAAAAGGAAATACGAATCTTGATTGCAACGTATTGAAAATCGACGGTGAAACTACCAAACCACGTATCTCGGTTTGCGACGTCGCAGACTTCCTGTCATACTTTTTTTTTTTTAAATGAAAAACTACTTAACATCCAGTCTTGAAAATTTCTGTGATTTTTCCTCTTTGTGAGCAGAAAATTCCGTGAAAATTTCAAGGAATGATATTGATTTGGTCTAATTCAAAAAAATAAAATGTGAGCGTAGATTTTTAAACACCGCAAACGAGATACGTGGTTTGGTAGTCTCACCGTCGAAATGCAACATGCGTTGTAGCTGTCGCAGGTTTGACCCGGAAATTGTAGTTCCTAATTGTAAAATGTAGTCCAACTATGTGCGACTCTGGACCATGACCTCTGGTGACCGCAACTTGAGCCATTAGTTGCCCACTGTGCGCCTAAAATGCATTGTTCATTATTTCCGATCAATTAATATAAAACGTGCTCGCGTGCCTTTGCTTTATTTCCCGACGCTACTGCTCGTTTGACCGCTCGGCACTCATGCGTGTCTCTGTTGCCACCACGTAATAGGATTATATTCTGGGGCAGGAAGGCAAATCTAAATATAAAAGGCATGTTTTTGGTAAAATGTTAAGGTGCTCAATGCCCCAAGATTTGTGGTTTAAAAGAGAGCAGTGGAGGTTAGGAGTTGTAGAGCGCGAGGAAGTGCTGTAAAGCGACTTATATGTATGTATGTTTTTGGTTCAAAATCATCCCTGCGAGAAGAACCTGAAAGAGATCTCTTGAAGTTTCAGAAACCTGGGGGAGGGGGGATATTATTCCATCGCGTATTCTCCTGGCAGGAGAGTAGGAAAAGGCATCACCTCTTCAATTAGACACTTAAATTTCGGTAATTTTTGCACTAAAACAGATTTACTGATATCTTAGCTAAAGAAGTAAATTTCCTTTCTCATAGATCTGTTACGCTCAATCTGGACTGAATTTTGCAATAAATACTCTTACATTATGTTTGACTGATTTTAGAAACAACACATATGCCATTCGATACCCTATGCATATATGAATGTTTTTATGAATGAATGAAAGATAGTAATTCCTTCCCGCAAAATATAGTCTATTCTGTAGACATCTCGGCTTCGCTAAGGAGAAACGCGATGTGAAAATTCGGAGTTTATTTTGCGATAAGGAGCTATTATCTCTGGTTCATCTATAAAAATGCAAATTTGCAAGCAAACTAATGGTACAAGTGGTTTTTTTTTTTTCAAAATGAGCCTGAAACAGTAGGTCCTAATCACAAAATGTAGTCCATAAGTATGTTGCTTTTTATTTTGCGGTATAATGTGTTTGTGTATTCTTTAGGAAGGTTAGGAATATTTTTCCTCGAAACATTCAAGCGTCCTGGATTCAAGTGTGAAAAAAATTACCCGAAAAATTCAATAAATAATTAAAAAGTTTTCGAGATATTTCCCTTTTGCCAACCAAAAATTAGCGTTCGCTTAAAGTTCTTGCGAGGTCTTTTATCTGTAAAGCAGATTATTGAAGCACAGGGTTGGCAACCCAGCAGTTATCGTTCTTTTGTTTCATGTTTTTCGTATCACGAATCTATGAGCTCCACTATTAAGTGCATAAGGCCATTCCAAGAAGCTGTTAATTAATCCATGAGCCCGCAATCCACCCTTTGGATGAAATCGGCGCTACTCTGTTGAAACGGGGAATAATCATTATATTCAAAGGATTTCGAAGGAGTATATTCACCGACTCCCACATCGAACCGATTTTCAATGGATCAGAGGATAATAATATAATCGTTTTTTTGATGCATGAAAAATGCGGACAAATAACAGAATGGTCTTTTCATGAACGCAACGAGCTGTTCAGTAATTTTTAATCAGAGAATTTCATAAATAGCATTTCAGAGAAGTAGAGAGTGCACTTATTCTCCAGGAATTTTCCCGGCTTTCTTTGAACGGTACTAAGGTGATTCGACGGGCGCCATTTTTTGTGTCAGAGCGACGTTTGATATATCGCATCGATTCTTTCCATTACTTCAGCTACTTGTAATTTTTTCGAATTTTGAAATGGCATTTCTGTTGTCATGAGACTAAAACATTTATGTACGAAATTTGACAAAGAAATTCAACGTAATAAAGGTTGGGTTTTTTTTAGAGGAAAAATATCGCATTCGAGCTAAGTGCAGTTTGAATATCAGTATGCGTTTCACGCTATCTAACTGACTGACTGACTGCACTGCGTTTGGCGCAATGCGAGAAGTATTCATGCAGTCTTGTAGGCGCTAATATGGGCCCTGCGCCGACCGCACTGTTTGGCGCAATGCGTGAAGCATTCACAAAGTCTCGCAGGCGCTAATATACGTTTAATGCCGGCCGCACTATGTTTGGCGCGATTATTCGAACTTGCGTTAGAATAATAGCGGCATCGGATATTAGAGCTTAAAAGGCCCATGTTGAGTTTCGACGCCGGTTTAGCATTCCACTGTTGCCTCGTTTCTACCGATTAAATATTTTTTCTGAGAAAAGTTAGGAAAGTTCTTTATACTCACGACCATGCATAATTCAAATATTTTTACTTCATTTATTATCAGAAGGTAAGACATCAAT